TTTATTTTATTTTATTTTAGTAGTGCTCATTAAATTTTATTTATTTATTTATTTTTCTCTTATTGTTCAGATGAACCAATTGATGATAAAATCCTTTACCCAGACGAAACTTCCTCGAGTGAATCTGAAGATCAGGATTCATCTAGTGAATCTGAAGATCAAGAGGAGATTACACCATCACATTCAACCTCTTCCGTAATAAATTCAAGGCAATTGGATCTCGACGTAGAATCCGATTCTGAAGGAAATTACATCATGTCATCTAATGGATCAAGAAGATCAAAAGTTCGGCCCAACATTATTACATCAAGGTCCACTGACCCAAGGATAAAAAAACCTCCACCGAAGAAAAGGTCTGTGATCAATTCAGAAAAGGTCGTTATGAGTTCATCACCTATAACGTCCAGTGGTGATGCACATTCGGCTCATAGGGATCGCATACGAGATGTGATACAAGAACTTTTAGTCATCGCAAAGAAACCGTCCGAGAAAAAGGGTCTTGGATTAATATTATCTGTTCAAAATGGGCATGCACCACATGTCCACGGCATCGGAGATCCACCTTCCCCCACCGTGATTCTCCTGTACGAGCTACAAGAATTATTGGGTTACGGAGATGAGGAGTCTTCAAAATACATAAACGAGCATCGGACTTCTAGTAAAATTCATCTCCAGGTAGATCCACCTGATGACAATGATGATACGAGGCCATCACTACGAAGTATGTTTGATAATGCTATTGACAACGCACGGGTTATCCGTCGTCGATCTTCTCCAAATTTTCGAACTTCACCATCTCCACCATCTCCACCAATAAATTACAGATCAGCGACTACCGGAGGGTCAGAAGTTAATTATGCGTCATTAAAAATGGATTCTAATCTACATCCGCATGATGCGAATGTTAATAAACCATTATCATGGGCTTCTTCATTAGGATTCTGGACTCGTTGGAAAGTGTAATGATTTAAAGTGGTTGATCAAGGTTTCCAGCAACACCTAGAGATCAGAGACTTTAGAAACATTCGGTAAAAACTGGAAAGAGATGTGATTGACTTCATAATCTCGTTTCCCTATCTTATCATTTAATTTTTCCTGATGTCTTATAAAATTTGAACTGAATAGACAACACATAGAATTTTGTTAAGATAATTAAACACGAAGGATTAGAAAGAAAGACTTTATTTTGAGCTGAAAGAGATTTTTCTATTTTTTTATTTTTGTATAATAGGCATAATCCTAAAAATCCCATTTCTTTTCACTTAAAGTTATACTTATTTGGCTGATAAAATTTGAGGCGAGCTACACAATAATGCAGGTTAAAGAGGAGCAATTTCTAATGACTTATTGTATTTAATTTTGATTCTATATAAAATTGAGCTTGAACTTAAAAAAAGAACAACTCTTTCGTAAG